ACCGCGGTTACCATAGATTAAAATTTAACTTTTGTTCCGATCTACACAGTATGAACTTATGGTATCATGGAGTCTTGCAGTTGTATGCTTGGGTTGGGATTTAATTTTATTTATTATAGGATCCCAAGCAGATGGTAGCACCCAGCCATCTTCTCTATTGAAATTAGGATGTTTTTTGATTTCAATAGCCTCGCGAATCATCCTTGGAAGGAATCGGTGTTCTTTAGCGAGGATTTGTGGTCTATCAAATCTGATGTAGTGACGGGGGCGATCCTGTACATGTTCACAGACTGCAGACTTCCCGGAGCGTCGATTCTTCACATCAGCTATATGTTCTTTGACGCGGGTTTTAATTGATCTTTTAGTTTGTCCTATGTAGGAGAGACCACATTCACAATCAAGCTTGTACACTCCTGCATCTTGCAGAGGGACGTTACACTTGACTGATGGTAAAAACTGACCAATCTTCTTCGGCGGCTTGAAGTATGTTTTGATGGAAGCGCGCTTCAAGATGTAGCCAATCTTGTCAGTGACTCCTCTAACATATGGCAGTACAGCAGGTACACGCTCGACTGTGGCCGGCTTCACTCGTTCTCTGTGACGTAGGCGCGGGACCCGAAGCTTGTTGTCATGCAAAACTTGCTTGACATGTTGGAGCTCGGCAGCCAGGTGTTTACTGTCACAGATCCCTCGTGCTCTCTGAAACAAAGATTTACCCACGGTAGCTAACTGTGAAGGATGGTGGTGGGAATCACCGTTTAAATATCTATCTGTATGGGTCTTTTTTCTATACACAGTATGGCTCAAGGTGTTATCAGGATTCCGAATTACTAACACATCTAGAAAAGCTAAGGAATTGTTTGCCTCTAACTCCATTGTGAACTGAATTTTAGTATTTATAGAGTTAAGATGGTCTAAAAATGCAGTTACTTTATCTAAAGTTAGAATTGTGAAAGTGTCGTCTACGTACCGCTTGTAGAATCTTGGATTTATGGGAGAAGTAAGCAGGGCTTTCTCCTCAAAGTCTTCCATGAATATGTCGGCGACAATGGGAGATACAGGTGAGCCCATCGCCACACCATCTACTTGCTTGTAGAACTCCTCCTTCCACAATAGGTAGCCAGATGTAAGGCAGTGTCTGAGTAATACTGCATATTCTACGGGCATGTTGTTTTCTTCCAGCCTTCTAGTTGCAATTGAGATGCAGTCTTCAACAGGTAAGCATGTAAACAATGACTGCACATCAAAACTGACCATAGTTTCATTGTCTGCCAGACGTAGGTCTTTAATCTCGCTGACAAAATTTTTAGACCATCTTAACTCTATAAATACTAAAATTCAGTTCACAATGGAGTTAGAGGCAAACAATTCCTTAGCTTTTCTAGATGTGTTAGTAATTCGGAATCCTGAAACACCTTGAGCCATACTGTGTATAGAAAAAAAGACCCATACAGATAGATATTTAAACGGTGATTCTCACCACCATCCTTCACAGTTAGCTACCGTGGGTAAATCTTTGTTTCAGAGAGCACGAGGGATCTGTGACAGTAAACACCTGGCTGCCGAGCTCCAACATGTCAAGCAAGTTTTGTATGACAACAAGCTTCGGGTCCCGCGCCTACGTCACAGAGAACGAGTGAAGCCGGCCACAGTCGAGCGTGTACCTGCTGTACTGCCATATGTTAGAGGAGTCACTGACAAGATTGGCTACATCTTGAAGCGCGCTTCCATCAAAACATACTTCAAGCCGCCGAAGAAGATTGGTCAGTTTTTACCATCAGTCAAGTGTAACGTCCCTCTGCAAGATGCAGGAGTGTACAAGCTTGATTGTGAATGTGGTCTCTCCTACATAGGACAAACTAAAAGATCAATTAAAACCCGCGTCAAAGAACATATAGCTGATGTGAAGAATCGACGCTCCGGGAAGTCTGCAGTCTGTGAACATGTACAGGATCGCCCCCCGTCACTACATCAGATTTGATAGACCACAAATCCTCGCTAAAGAACACCGATTCCTTCCAAGGATGATTCGCGAGGCTATTGAAATCAAAAAACATCCTAATTTCAATAGAGAAGATGGCTGGGTGCTACCATCTGCTTGGGATCCTATAATAAATAAAATTAAATCCCAACCCAAGCATACAACTGCAAGACTCCATGATACCATAAGTTCATACTGTGTAGATCGGAACAAAAGTTAAATTTTAATCTATGGTAACCGCGGTTAACTATGACAGCTGGACGTTGAACATCTCAGTCCTTCCCGTGACCATGGGTGCTGTAAAGCTCTCGAAACGTCGGGTAAAAAAGTTAAATATACGCGATAAATTCCGTAAAAATTAGTATTATTTCAATGTGTAGTGTTCGCGTAAATATAAGAAATCATTAAACTACGCTCATTTTCACTCAGTACTTCCCAGGCCGCCGTGCAGGAATTTTGCCTACAAAATGCCGTCCTATGTAGTTAAATGGTGCAAAAACAATACTGAAGTGAACAAAACGTCCGAAGCAATAACGTTTCACGCGTATTCAACTATATTTTAATTTGTTATTCCAACACAATTTTGAAAGTTATTCGAAGCACGAATGTCAATGTTTCGAGGTTACGTAACGGGAAAATGTTGCCAGTATTTCTTATTTCTAATGGTCCAAGATTTGAGTAATTAATTTTAGGCTGAGTTAAGAAATATATGTAGTCGGCATATTTTTTTAAATTAGTTGTTATTATGTTACATCAAATTGAAGTCAAGGTAAACATTCAATTTTTTAAGTCGCTGATTTTCTGTTTTAATTGTTAAGTACTTACAAACTATTTTACTATCAAAAAATATTTATGATTTTTCGCTACCAACGAATATTTTAATAAGACATGATTTTTTACGTGGTAGAGCCATGCTGCAGTTATACTATTAGTAGTATAGTATAGCACGAATGAGTCGGCTCGACCGGGGAAGAACCACGCTCTCACAGAATACCAGCGTAAAATAGTAGCTTAATGCTGCTGTTTCGTACGGTGAGTGCAGAGAACCGGAGACCCTTTTTACTGGAAACGAGGCATTCCATCTTAGTCGTCACGGGTGACAACGCATCTTCATTTTGATTCGTAATCGAGGATATATGTAGATGTCAATGGGCCACAGCAAAAACTTACCATCAGGTGAAATGTATGCTTATTTGTCACACCCTATCCTATAAAAAAGAAGGGTAGCTGCTAGCCACGCAGCGGCTATTGATGTCACATGGATGTGCCAGCTTGAACCAGGGTGGTACCATGACCTCACAGAATACCTGCGTGAAGTAGAGGTTTACTCTGCGTTTCGTTTGGGCTGGAGACCCATTTCCCTCTCCCCCTTAACATCGTAGCGGAATCAAATAAAAACTACCCCAAAATGTTACCCTCACTCCTGGTAACGGAGAATCCCCCGCTGACCATCCACGACCAAGCTATTTTACTCTTCCTGAGCGTGGGTGCTTAGGCTGCTACGCGTATTCTGGGGGTGGGGGGGGAGAATTCTGCTCGCGACTAAAACTGCTAGGGGCAAGCGGAGCAATAAGACCAAGGCGACCCCTGTCACGCTATCCGTGAATTTTTGCAACATCAGGACACTTCATTCCAATCTTAATGCTGTCCACTACCACCCGGAGACGGCGAAGCCGGCCTTGCTCTTTTGAACCGAGACTCAGGTGTCCTCTTCGGCTGATACTTCATATCTCTCCTACCCGGGGTACAAATTAGAACACTCCTTTGTGCCCCGGTTGGAGTTTGTTCTAATTTGCATTTGCTAAAATATACTTTTTTTATTTAAAAAAAGTATTTTTTTAATTCCTTAGTAATTTATTTTTTATTCTAACTAGTTTTTTTTTAGTATTAAGTTATTTTTTATAATCAACATGTTTTACATTACATATGTTATATATTTTATCGATGCTTACATGCTCACTGGACAATCTATCAAGAAGACTTTTAAATGATCTACAGACGCCTCCTACGTGCTTCATCTTTTTTTTGAATTGTCAAATTATTGAAATTTATTAAAACAGACAGATATACTTTCGCATTCACATCTCAAATTACTCTAGTTGTAGTATTGTATCTTGATTTTCAGGGACTTTTAAAAAAAAGTGGCAACACTTCTCTGACTCACACAAAGTTATAAATTTGGTTACAGTTTCTTGTTCTAGGTGCGATATCTACCTTTTTTTACTTCATCTGAGGGTTAATATAATAATATGACAATCCTTGTCATGTTCATTTTTGTCGTTGATGGCAGTATAACCATCAGACGTAATGAAGGTACTTTAATATCAAATCCACTTTATGGGCAATAGTATTAGGAAAAATTGCAATCACTACGGTCACCAAATGTGAGGGAGGCCTGAGTAGGTGGTCAATCGTATCATATGTAGTATATTTAAATCAATCATTTACGGGTACTTGGGCTGTTTTGCAGTTTTATTGCTTGCTGCTCTGAATTAAATGTACCTACTTACGGAAGAGGTAAAAAAATCCGCACATTTTTTACGACTAACACATAAGCCGGTTCCGGAGCGTCAAGTTATAATATTTATTACTTTTTCAATATTTAAAATATTTATGACATTTGATTTATTCTTAAATCACTAAAATATTCGAAACAGAATATTTCATAGATTTTAAAGAATTTGCAATAAAAAGCTCTGTTAAACAATATAAAAGAATTTATTTAAAAAAAATATCATTGTACAAAATGTAAAAATCGTGTAAAAACAATCGAGGAAACTTAAAACAGATTAACTCTGTGTATGCATAACATACAGGTCTCGAATGCATAAGCGTTTAATTTATTATACTCGTATATCATTAAATAAAAATGCTTTAAAACAAAGGCTATACTAGACTCACACAGGCTACGTTGTAAATTTTTTCTTTATAGCAGTAATTCACGCTGTTTTCATGAACTTTCATCCAATATGTTACATTTAAAACATCTTTATCAAACGATATATAATGTCCCAGACATCTATTGGTGTTGGTCATGTTGCTCCACGTGCTCCTGGGGTTGAAAACCGTGCTCATTAGCGGTGAAGGTGACTGCGTATACAACTCCATCGGGGGCTACGTACTTATAACTACCCTTCACTTCGATCGCCTTGTGATCTTCGCTGATCTGCTTCAGGGTTCCCTCCTCTTGGCGGGCTGTACCATCGCTGGTCTCGAAGCTATTAATTAAATAAAAATGTTTAAGTAATTTAGATTGTGGCAAAGGTTATATATTATATATCTGTTGCAATAAGTTGACATGTGTTAAAAGGTTTGAAATAGATCACCAATACGTATGTTTTGATATGAATATACTAGCGATTCGCCCCGTCTTCGCACATGTGATTTCTAAATCTAGACAAAAGCGCCACACTACCGGGTCCAAATGTGAATCTAAACCATTTAGGGACGCATTCAAAAACATACAAAAATTCAATTTCATCAAACTCGGTCGAGCCGTTTTAGAGTTTTGACGAGACTAACGGACATCAATTGATTTTTATATTATAGAGATTTTGTCCTTCATATAAATGGATGAAAAGAGGACTTTGAACTCACTTGAAGGTATATCCTTCAGGATGAACGTTGGAATCTTGCCTAAGGATGTAGACAGGGTGTTGGTCGGGTTGTTGCGGTACTGCAGCGGCTACAGCGATAAGAACAAGGGCGCATAACACCTGAAAATCAATGATTAATAAGTTCAAAGTATCACCTCACTTCGGCATTTATCAAAGTTTAAAAATAATTTCGATTCCTTAAAAGTTTATAAATTAAAATTGTAAATTTCATATATATATATATATATATATATATATATATATATATATATATATATATATTCATATATCATCATCATCATCATCATTACAGCCCTTCACAAGTCCACTGCTGAACATAGGCCTCCCCAAGTAATGCCACAAAGCACGGTCCTGAGCCACCTGCATCCATCGACTTCCTGCATGTCTTACCAGGTCGTCACTCCATCTAGTGGGGGGTCGCCCTACACTACGCCTACCGGTACGAGGCTGCCACTCGAGAACCTTTCTTCCCCATCGGTTATCGGTTCTTCGAGCTATATGGCCGGCCCATTGCCACTTCAGCTTACTAATCCGTTGGGCTATGTCGGTCACTCTGGTTTTACTGCGGATATCCTCATTTCTGAGTCTATCACGCAGAGAAACTCCAAGCATAGCCCTCTCCATAGCTCGCTGAGCTATGGAGAGGGCTATATATATATGATATATATATATATATCCGTTATTAAAGTTATATACAACTATTTTTATTTAACATTTAAATTATCAAAAGTAAATACTTATTAAAAATTAGATAAGTGATGATACATACGAATTTTTGCATTTTGTTTGATAAGTACGGTTGAGTTCACACAAATGGACTGGATCTGCTTGAATCAGCTGTTCACTGTGCCAATCGAAACTTGTATCGACTATTTAAAGTACCGCGTAGATGTATGACAAAATCGTCTGTCTCTTACCGTATGATCACGTAAGAAATAGGGTGCTAATGAGAGAGGCGAGAGGTGTCCTAGAAAAATGGCTAGTGCTAACTTGTATTACGTTAGATTTTCATTTAAATTATTTAGTCTTATAAACCTTGTCAGAATTTTTCGTAAACATTTCGAAACTTTTCGATTTGTATTTTTGGATTTCATTGTTCTTATATGTTAAGCTACGTACTTGAACTTTTAAATTAAAATTTGTTTAAAAAAATTGACAACGAAAAATTGCAGTAATTGTGTATAGAATACATAATTCTTGCATAAATTATTTATGCATCATAGTATCTCAAGGGATAAGCGCTCACCGTAAATTTCTCTCACACAGTACGCAAGCGACCCGGGTTCGATTCCCGACGGAAGCATTACAAATTTTAGGTACTGATTTAGATACCACGTGCTTGATGAAGAAAATCATCGTGAGGAAACCTGCGTGTCATAATAATAATAAGGAACGGTCTCTGCCCTAGTGTAGGGCGTACTACGTTTTAACATATGTATGTCTATTTTCACATTGATGTCATCATCGTGCGTGCCTCTTAGGTACTTAATTCTTAAGATCTTACTTTATTTTATCATTTTTGGTCAGGTTCTGTATGCTGTGATGAAAGGAAGTAACGGATCTGACATCGAAGGCCTGTCACTGCCCGTCGACGAAGACTTCGACCCTAATATTCAACTGGACAACCTTGGACCTAAAACATCTCTAGCCTCAACCATTGATGTTAAACTTTGGGCTCAAACAGTAAGTTTGTATCTATATGGGATCATTGATTTTAGTAGAAGTTATATTAGGCTTATATACAATGTAGTTTAGCAGATGACACGCACACTAAGTAAACAAAATGGTTTTTAATTCCATTTGGAAAAGATTCTCAGTGAAGATTTAGATTCAACTTTTTCCAAACTGTACCTTGTATTACTTTTTTTCTTTTTATATGAGTTAAAAAGAATATAATAGAGCGGTAAAATCAATAAACATATCTACGCCTCTGTATTATGGCCACGCTCCAGTTAATAAATTACTTAAATCGGGGGCACACAGCAGTGCCCCCGCCAAGTCGAGCGCGAAGCATACACTGCCGTACCATCCTTTACTGGAACCATTTCGCCGCATTTTCAGGCCCCTATTTTAGAACCTCTGGATAATACCAGAACGCAGAAATTTTCGTCATCCATTAAACTATAATCACATACTTAAAATCCAAAATTTCAAGTCTGTAGGTCATTTAGTTCTGAAGTTAAGCGAAAGCAAAGTTTCGCATTTTAGACACTAACTCACTCACTCATGATCATCAGAATAAAACTAGTACTTCCCATAAACTCAGAGAACTGAAATTTGGTACAGAGTTAGGGTTTAATGGCCACATAAAGGGAAAACTATAAAAAATAGGATAATCGAACATCTGGAGTACCTGGTGACCCTGATTAGAAAACACAAGAGCCCAACCAAACTATTAGAAGAGATCGACATACCGCCTTTACAAAAAAATATTCAACTTGGTGGGCCGCTTCATTTGATGTCAAAAATCGAAGGTCTAAAGTATCTGATGAAGAACCCTCAGCTGGTCTCAGCTGTATTAGAGATATGGTAATGCCCCCTTCTACCATTGGTACATAAAAATCTACTGTCATTGCAAAAATCCAGCGTAGTGGGACACATCTAATTTAATCTAGCCTATAGCGTCCCACTGCTGGGCGAATGCCTCCCCTTCTGCTTTTAATACGCATATAAATAAAATTAAAGGAAAACTCTGGATAACACTAGATTGGCTTTTATACTTATACTTACAAGTTTACAAGAAAAAATAGTCGAACTATTAACTTTATTCTACTCGAACATTACTCAAATTCCTTTAAGGTACCGTGGACGTGAATTCATCTCGACGAGACCGTTGAGTACCGCGGACATGAATTCATGTCCGCATTACGTGCTACTATTTTCTTCATTAATTAATATAAAAATACAGTATATTTTCAATTGAATTCTATTTTATTTGATTCTGAACGAACTAAAGAGTATTCTGAAGAATTATATTCACTCGGTTACATAGACAAAATCAAATATAACAGCCATTCGCTTTTGTGCTGTTGGTGCTGTTTGTTGCGTAATCGTTGAAGTTTTGTGATTGTGATTTTAGTTGGATTTTCTTTCAAAAAACTGTAAGTAATGTTATTTATCTTTACTACGTAATGTTTTTGAATGATCTAAGTTACAACAACAGTAACTTTTTATGTTTCAATTGATAAAAAAGTAGAATCAAAAAACTCCTACGCGAAAAATTCATTACGGTCAAGATTTCTAATAAGATAATAATAGTATATTTCTTATTCGAATACCATAGTAAATACTTTTACTAGGAATTGCTAAATGTTATATATCTATATGATTGTATAAGAAAAATAAAGGAAGACGCTATAATATATACACAAAAAGGTTTTGAAAATGAACGTTTTCCAAGTGGCAATTTTCCATCGTCAATGGATAGCGGTTCTGGCGACAGATTGGTGCAAGGGTGTCATGTAGCACCTGGTTTTGTACCCTTGTGTACCCTTCAACGGCCAAGTCACACAACATTAACTATAATAATAAAGAAATCGCAGTAAGGAAGCTTAGACTTGGCACGACTTTGTCTAGATTTCATTACTTTTTAGAGATAAACAAGCAGCTCCATCGAGACTTGGCTAGTTTTTTTTACAGAATGTTTTTGGTGGGATATAATTTACTCGATTCAGAAATATTTTACAATGCACAACATAAAGTATAAACAGAGTGCTTCTGTTATTTGATTGGTGGCTTTCTATTTTGGGTTTATTCCCTATTGTATAGATTACTACTATAGGTATACCAATCCTTCCATAACTTTCTTTGACTGCCTCAGTGGTTAAGTGCGCGCGATTGTCGTAAATGTAAGCTGTTGCTAGCAAAGCTGATTATATTATTGCGAGTTCGAATCGCGGATTCGTCGGATTCGGATTCGTGCACATGATCGGGCCGAATTTTTAGCCAGATATTTTGTTGTTTTTTATGTTAAGAAATTCTCAATAGCAGCTGATTCAGGGAGTTGCGAGGTGTTTAACCTCGTGCCTCGGTAAGCACGTAAAGTTAATCCTGCGCTTGATCTCTCTCTAGTTATTTCATTTCCGTCCTATCGGACTGTGAAAGTTAGGGAATGGAGAGTGCACCTGTACTTATGCATTATATGCCTGTCCTGTGTATATGGCTGGTCTCTGTTGAGACTGACGGCCGTGACCGAAATTCGGTCTGAAAGACATTATCATCATTATCAGTATAGTATACTTTCTTCCTAGTAGTCCACCTGGGTAGGTAAACTGTACATACTTAATATTGGCTGGCACACATTATACGGGGCCGAAGAATCTCTTATCAAACCCCAGTCAGTATTGCTACGTACATTAATAATAAATGGAAGCTGATCGTCTTGCCCTTCATAAATAATATTGAATAAATAATTTGTTTAAGAACAAAACACGTAATTGCTCCCCCTCAGAAAACAAACACTAATAGCATATACAAACGACCGTGTAATTTCTTATAAAATGGTTTGACATTTATTTTCTCAAAAGATTTACAAATCACTTACAGAAAAAATACATATTATAAAGAAAAAAAAACATTAAGCCGATTGGCGTAGTGAGCTAGTATTATAATAGGTTGCTAAAACTTATTTTCTAATTGAGTGCTTAATAATTTATTTAGTAATAATTACACATAAGTAAATAGGGTTGCCGTGTAGTGGCGGTTAAGAATATCCACTACCCCATATCTTCCCGTGGGTGTCGTAAAAGGCGACAGAGGGAGACAGGCAGGAGATGGGCAGCAGCATCTTCCTGATAATAGCAACTGTACGACAAAAAAAAACTGCGGTTGCCAACCCGCTCGCCAAGCGTGGCAACTATGGCAATATACCCCCCCATGAACAATTACACAAATAGACGGCCCCCAGTCCCCGGCGGCCCCGCTATTCCTGGCTACGGTGGCGACCATGGTAACGGCGGGGCAGGGGGTGCTAAGAATCTCCGGTGGAGGTTCGGTTGCCACCTACGACGACTCGACCTGGCAACATTTAACGCACGCACACTGAGGACTGACGAGAAGATCCTGGAGCTGGAAGAAGAGATAGACAAATTGCGCTGGAGTATTATAGGATTATCCGAGGTCCGAAGAGAGGGGGAGGACACGGTGATTCTCGAATCCGGCGAATCACCGGGAGGGCGACCATCTGTCCCAGGGAGGTGTCGGATTTATCGTCCACAAGTCTCTCGTCAACAACGTTGTAAAGATTGGGAGTGTGTCGACGATGGTCGCGTACCTGATACTCAGAATCACCAAACGGTATTCGCTGAAGGTCATACCGGTTTACGCACCAACCTCGGCACATTCCGATGAGGAGGTGGAGGAAATGTATGAGGATATTTCCAAAGACATGCATTCCTCCAAAACCCACTACACGGTGTTGATGGGAGACTTCAACGCAAAACTAGGCACAAAAAGAAAGCGGTGAGCTGAAGTTAGGGAAATTTGGAGTAGGGCAACGGAACCGTAGGGGCCAGCAGCTGGCCGACTTTATGGAGAAAGAGGGACTCTTTATGATGAACTCTTTCTTCCAGAAGCGGCCCCACAGGAAGTGGACCTGGTCCCGACGGTTCGACAAAAAATGAGATTGACTTCATTATGACGACCAGACGCCAACTGTTCAGTGATGTCTCAGTGATCGCAAGGGTGAAAACTGGCAGCGATCACCGAATGGTTAGAGGCACACTGAACCTAAACCTTAAGTTGGAGAGGTCTCGTCTAATGAAGTCAACGCTCCGTCCCCCTCGTGCTCTAATTCAAAATCCCGAAAACTTTCAGCTCGAGTTACACAACCGCTTTCAGTGCCTACAAGATTGCAATGCAGTGGACGATGTGAATGACAAGCTCGTGGAAACTGTCCATGCGGTCGGAGCTAAGTTCTGCAAGACCCGCCGCAGAAGAACACAAAAACTCTCCGATCACACTCTTAATCTCATGGCTGTTAGACGGGAGATGAGGCTGCAATCGTCAACAGATTTGACAGCATACGGGCAACTGAACAGACAGATCTCCAAATGCATGCGGCGAGACTTACGCAACTTTAATACTGCTCGTATTAAAGAAGCGATCGAGCGGAACCAGGGCTCCAAAGTCTTTGCCAGAGATCTGTCTGCCCGTAAGAGCCAACTGTCAAGGCTGAAGACTGAGTGTGGCAGCATCGTTTCCGGGACACCTGAGATTTTGAGTGAGATTGAGAGATTCTATGGGCAGCTGTACACATCATCGTTGGAGCCACACGCCAGTGTGAGTAACGATCCAAGAGCAAGTCTTATCCGACACTATTCCGATGATATCCCGGACGTCAGTCTAAGCGAGATTAGAATGGCTCTCCAGCACCTTAAAAACGGCAGGGCCCCAGGCGAGGATGGAATTACAGCGGAGCTTCTGAAAGCGGGTGGAACACCGGTACTTGAAGTCCTTCAGAAGCTCTTCAATTCCGTCCTCCATGGTGGCACTACTCCAGAGGCGTGGAGCAGAAGTGCGGTGGTCTTGTTCTTTAAGAAAGGCGACAACTCTCTCTTGAAGGTTGACTGTCGGTATATCGAAGTGCTGAAGTGTTTGTACAGTAGGGCTACGATGGCTATCAGAGCACAGAACCAGAGTACGAAACCTATCCAACTGCAGAGAGGTGCAAGACAGGGTGACGT